GGCTCAAATTGATTCTGCTTTGACCGGGACCTCAAGCCGGGCAGGATGAATTACTAGCATTTATTCGCTATTGTACTCAAGAAAATGGTACTAATATTCCGGGTTCTCTTCGTTTATTCTGTATGACCATAGTGATTTCCGTCACTTAAATCAGAATAACGCGTTTTTATTGAGAACTTAGATCACGCCAAACTTTCAAAATAGCTGCATCCTTTGGATTGACCAAGGTTATAGAAGATAATATCAAAAGATCTGTCATTTTTCACAGTTTCCTTCATACTATTTGGAAGCGTCTGGATGGTTGTGAGCATAGACGTTTTGGTACTGATCGTTGTCTTACAGCGACTGGTAACTTAAATTGTTTCCTGTCACATCTCAATTGCACTCTAAAGCGAAGTCACACGGAAGAAGAGTATAGTAAACGCGATTCTAATTCGAAATCTAACTCCTCCCTACTACTTCTGCAATGTCTGCGTTAAACGTCAGATAGTTTTTAGAGTCACCTAGTACACCGTGATGAAAGATTTAAAAAATAAAAATAAATGCAAGTCTCATAAACATAAAATGTTAACTGTGCTCTGCGAATCGTTTTGCATTGGTCACTATATCACGTTCCTTTCGAACTTTTCACCCGATAAACGTTGGCACTAGGTAAGTATGTGACACTTTGTTGCCATTGAAAAGCAGGATGGATCAGTTAGAGTTCGAATTTACTGACCGGAAGGCCCGTGGTTTCAACCCAACCTCTGCCTGGCGACTTCCCCTCTCAAAGCTTAGCAACCTGGCAGTATCACAGCCCTCGTGTTTCCTTCTGGTGGCATGGAATTTTAACTTTGTTGTTTGGCACTGTTACGTGAAAACTCTTAGCATGTATTGTAATCGACTTATTTAAATTCAAGATTTATGAGCAGTTTAGGAAAGCCAGTACATATCGTTGCTCATCGCCCAATGATTGTGACGTTTTAGAGGTGTTTGAGGAAAGAACAGTAACTTCAGCTTAAGCGTAAAAGTTTCGGTAAGCCATTAAGATTTTGTCCATAAACTCAGCTTCTATGCACGATGTTTATTTGAGATTCCTGAAACAATCCATTGAAAATAACGGATTTCACTTTCTGACCATTATGAGTGTCTCTTACATTTGACAAACTTCATTCGGATATTTTTACCTTACCAAATGGCACATTTGAATTTCGAGGAAGCTTCGTGAATTAGTTACATGGGAAAACGAACACGTTGGTGGACTGTTCAGATTGCACTAATGGGAAAACAGGGTGACAAAGAAATGCATCAAATAACTCCCCAGCCACTTTTGCAATGTCTGTTTCATTATATATCACAAGTCATCAATCAATTATTCAAGTTTTGCAGACGCTGGTGAATTATTCCTCCTAATGACAAAGCACTCAGATTGAGTAAACAGTGAACGGGTCATTGTAAGTGATTTTTCTGAGTAAATGGCAAGGGCATTCCAGAGGAAAAACAGTCCTCAAAAATGAACTTTTCAATTTCGAGGCGATAAAGTGAGTAAACCACTAAGACAAGCATCAATTTGTCCTCACATTGATTCTGTTTGTTAGCTTTGGTCCTTAACAACCTCAAAAATTCCTGGTACAGAACAGCGAGTTGGCACAGATGTTAGCGATATACGGGTGACTGCCTCTACTTTTTACAAGGGATAGCGTACGTCAGAGGGCAAACTTCCCAGTTTTGTTGGGCGAAACCCTAATCACCAGAGACGACGAACCAGCAAGAACAAAAGTGAAATTCGACAGCTCACACTCACTGCCGTCGTACAATTTATGGATGACGATAATTTTCAGTTCAGTTTATACCGGTAGATTTTGAGTTTGCTACCGTTTCTGAAAATTTGAAAGTGCCAGAAATATCAGCAGAAGTCTTTTCTAACGCTCGTACGTTACTAGCATCATTTTGTCTTGCAAGTGCCGACTCAAACGGTGTTGTTGCGAATTCCCAAGACGGTCGTATTACGTATTTACGCAGAATGTACACCCTGGAAGAAGTCTCACCCACCGGAATACAGGAGAATATATTTAAACGTACGTCATGCCGCCCTTTTGCGTGCACGATGTTAAGCAAGCTGAATAGCTCTTTGTGGTGTTAATGTCCCTACAACACACTTGGCGTCTTTATGTTTTCTTTTTTTCTTTTGGACAAAAGACAGAAAAAATTCATTGATGGAAGTGACGGCCACATGACTCAGAATCAGACAAACTGGATACAAAGTCAATAGGTTCAAATTACGGGATCTTCAGTCTTCCGAAATTCTAAAACCTCCCTAGGAGAAAAGTACTGTTGAAATCCACAGATTTTTTCACTTTTTAACAGGATTGTTAACTTGGTTCACAATCGGAAGGTGAATTATCCCTGACCAATTTTAGTTCATGATAACTCATACCTTGCCCGTTTAGCTGTCTTTGGAGCTACCGATATTTTCTTCACTTACGCGCACCAATTCGAATTTCGTAATCCCAAACCTCATTTCTGAGAATCCATACCAGATGTGTGGCTAAGATTGAAGCAACAAAGTTCGAAGGATAGAGATGGTACCGCATAACTGCTTGTCTTGTGGTTCTTCGTTCTTCCTGTTGATCCTGATAATTTAATTGCCATCTTTAATAGCCAATACGGCCAAGTTTAGTAGAGGTCCTGTAATATTGAAAGCCATGAACCAATGGCTACCATCCTGGGACTAGAAGATTCACTGGAAAATATACCTGATTTAATGATGATACTGATCACTGATATACTCAGCTTCAAAGTGCGTGGTTTCACATAAAAACTGGTAAGGTGTCAAGCAGTCATCGCAGTGAACTGTAAAGCAAAATTTTTATGTGTTTCGCTAGCTCTAGAGCAAAAGTTAAATCATATACAAGTCGGAATGCCCCTTGCTTCTACCAGTCAATACTACAAGCAGCGAAGACATAATAAATCTACCCATAGCTTATCGGAAGCTGTAAAAGCATGTGCACGAATCTACTTAATCATTCCACTAGGCAGCCTCAGTGAGTATAGTGTTGACATTTTTGTGCACTGTATAATGAAAGTGGGATAAGAACCGTTATCGTTCCTTTCTTCAGGAGACTCTCTAGGCCATAACCTCAACGCCATCACATTTCATGCGTAAATATCGATTCCAGTTTCATTCGACCTTACTGGTCAACCTTTTTGAATCCAAGTGGAACATCACCCTAGGACAAATGAGGCGGAACTAATCGGTAACCTCAACTTCAAAGGTCGAGAGCGTATGATTCTTGTACATTGAGGCTGCGAATGAAGGCAGGTGTAAAAATGGTGAAAAATGTGTTTTCTGAGCTGCTTTTTCATTGTGATAAGAATGATACGATGTGGCTCATAACTATCTGCAGAAACCCTTGGTTACAGCCGATGGAGCGAGCACAAACAACCCTTTGCAGAACACAGCATTAAACCTTTTATTTCAAAACAGATGCAGGTACACCTGTGACAAGAATATTTTTTCCAATATTGTTTGTCAGATCAGACTTGAGCTCTAAAAATCTAAACAGATGTTTTAAACAGAAAAACTTGACTCATAATTGACACAATTCGTGGGTATCCTGAAAGGAAGAAACTATAGGAACTCAGAGAGCATAACCTCTGCTAAAAAGGAAATAAGTGTGCTAAAAACCCAACGTACTCTTTTGCACTAACAATCTTTGGAAGTATTTGGTAGCTGAACTCAGACGGTGCAGTAGCTGTAATTAAATCACAATTCCAATTAAAGCTGAAGTTCTTTCTCATTAGTTAATCATATTACCTGAGTTCCTAATAGGTTAACTTCTTCAGGCTTTGTTAATCTACAAAACTACGCAAAAATTTTTACATATCTTTTTTTTCAGTTTTTAAACATGTTGAACAGTTGATAGTTGGGGACGAACACAATACTACAATGATCAAACGCACTGTGTGGCTGCGTTTCGATGACCCGTCAGGATGCTGGTAGCAGACTTATAGACTCGGTCGGAAAGAAACAGGTAGGAACACTTCATTCAATTTCTTTCCGACCGTGTCTTCACAACGCATCACCACTGGACTCCCCTCATGTGAATTAAAGACCGATTCCAAGAATACGTTATTAAGGTAATAAAAAAACAGTGAATATTCTTCCCGGAGAGGTTTGGCACACAGAACTATTCAGCCTTTGTGACTTTCCGGTTTGACGTATAAAAGGGGTCAGTCAAGGTTAGTCAGTTACAAGGCTGATTAGATTCTAAGATAGCCGGATGTGAACAACAAGCCGACCAAGCCAATTGAGAGTTGTAATGCATCACAGTGTGGCAAAGCACGGGGTAACAAAGATGATCTCAACACATCATGGCCCATGGATTGAGAAAGCATAATTCAGGAGTTGGTGGTTATCTCAGGGAAACGGACAATTGTTAACAAAATTTCATCCTGTTGATGAAAGCCAATTAATGCTGAAAAGCCGGAAGGCGTTGTAGAGCTTTTTCATCCTTGTTGGAAATTATCAGCAGTGCGCATCTCAAGAAAACCAATGAAATCCTGAACCAGCGACCTTCCGGCCAGTTGTTGAGCACTTAACCGTTTGGATACCAGCGGCTTATCAGCAGAACTGGACAAAACTCGATGACCGTTCGGGAACAAACAAAACGGAACACTGCAGGCAAAAGACGGATGTTTTGCATGGGCGCGAAGGTTACAGTAAAAGGTCACCAGGATCCTGGTCAGTGTGGACTGAGATTGCGGGAGTTGCGCGGTTGGTGACACAGCCCTCTTTTCGTTACTGATCGTCAAGTATACGTTCATACAATTCAGAAAGGTTGAGGGTCAAGTCGAATAGGCGAGGCTGAATATCGAAAATGTTTCGATGCGCCTGAGGATGTATGGAGTGGACCAGCTGCCGAGGCTAACCTAACTGAAACGACCATCGATTACCTGCGTGCGAACCTTTGGCTGGGGAGGTGTGTATCTGTGCATACTGCTGGTGCAGCACGCGAGTCATGTCTGGACAAGTGTCACTGCATTTTATGGAAGGTTAGTATAAAGACTACGAACCAGTTTGCAGTATTTGTATGCAGACAACCTCTAAAAGTTCAAGGTACAACATGAAGATGTTCATTCTTCAAGAAGTCTATGCAAATGAGGATTCAAGTTTTATGCCTGATAGACTATAACTTGTTCTTGTTGGCCAACAAACAACTCTGCACCCGAAGGCGTACTTTCATTCCCAAGTACCCATTCATCCAGATCTTCCCGTGTCAGAGGTTTGTCCACGGAGTAGGACAACCAAATAGTAACTCAAAAGCCTCATACCGAAGTCTAACACTGATAAACTGATGATTAGTTCTTAGGATACCAAAAACACGATCAGTCTGTCAAGTTACTAATTCTTTCTGACAAGACTTTTGTGTCACGATGGTAGATTCGCGTATCATTTACCCCAAGGATTTCTGTAACTTTCATCTTGGATGCTTGGAAACCAAGTCATCGATAAACGGTTTGTAAAAGGTGCGTCCAAGTGATTCTAAGAAGCTTCGAGAAACGAAATGTCGTCATGTCAGGAAAGCGGATCATTTGTGACTCACCCATTCTCCTCAATGCAAATTAAGCTGTGTGAACCTGTACCATTCGCAGACGCAAGAGCCTTAGTGGGATCGTCCTTTTAGGTCACCGGTTCATGTGCTAAAAGGAAAGAAGTGGGAAACATGGAAGTTCGCTCCAGTTTCTGATCATAGGCTGGCCGACGTTATCAGTGCAAGGATGAAACCATCGCCAATAATGCAGGTAATCGTATACTGCCAGAGTGCATACTACTGACTTGAAGATGCGTAAATGAGCGGCGTTGGGAAAAGTGGGATCTCAATGTAAGAAGGAGATACGGCAATTCGCCGAAGCTTGAAGGATTCTGCGGATGAAGCCGAGGTCACGGTGACTGGGCCTATTTCAGTGCCATCATGTTTAGACTGGCTGACCTTTTGCAGAGTGCTTGTGAAATAGTCACGTGCAGTATGGAAAGCAAGGACAGTCTTGGAGTTAGCATATAAGTTGAATTAACTGGAGGAATTAAGGCCTTAGTCTTCTTCAATAGACCATCATGTGTTACTAAATCACATTTTGGAAGAACAGGATGGATGAGAGAACTGAACGTCTTAATGGATTGAACTAGAGCATGACATTTTCAAGACGGAAGACTGTAGCATATGTTAATTTACCTATGCCAGGAAGCAAAACTTCCACAGCAAGCATCAGGTTTAGTGATATGTAAGCTGGTATAAACGTTGAGGTCGAATACAACATAGTGTGACATTTTATCACCAAGGTCCTGGTTAAGGACATATTTAATTTAAAGGTTGCAAATATTGTTCAATATGTGGTGGGGTAATCCATCAAAATGATTCGGAGTGAAGACACAATCAAAAGAGTGCTATACAGCGATAGTAAAATATATTCTGTAAGGCATGCTCGCTCAGGGAGGTTTACAGTTTGTGCTTGCGGAAAATCTTACCATGCTTAGAGATATACTAGATCACCCACAAGGCGTAACTCCTATATTTCTTTATTTACACAGGAAGAAGTGTTGAATTGAGGCAACAATCTTGGGTACCACTAGAGAATGTTGCCTGTATTTCAAAACTGAATCATTCAACTGGAAACGGTAGTTATGGTACGCCACGGTCAGTACAACGGATTCGGTGATTTTAGGCATGTAATCTTCACGAAGACGTTCTATAGAGCTGCATCATGCAAATAACAACAAATAATGTCCACGAACTTTTGCAGACGCATTTGTCCAAAAAAAATACGTTTTATGCACCGGTTTCTTTCCCATCACACAATTAGCCCGTTTTTAAGTCGTGTTGATGTCTGATTGATTGAAACGTATATTCCCCTTTGGGAAACTAACTAGATTTTTGACAAAAAGGCGCCATACACCATAAGTGGTCGGAAAATGAACTGAAGGTTCCAATCACTCAAAGAACTGCAGCATTATCATCCTTTTGCAGAGCTGAAAATATCTGAAAAATGTCTGAGCATAGCAGAATGTCCTTCACCGCAACGCATTGTTACACTGGAATAGCCAGGTGTGATAGCCGCATTGGATGCAGTCAGCTGATTATTCAGGACTGAAATACCTCCTCTCCCAATTACTTTCAAGCTGCTACTGGTATGAAAAACGCATGGTTTCATCTTCACAACCATTATCTTTATACATTCTACCTGCCGGAAACCTAATTTATCACGGCACACACTGGACGGTCTTTCGTAACTTTAGTCGATCACCGAATTATCACAAGTCCAGTGTATCACAGATGTTAGACAGCTAGCAACTATGAGCAGAAGTTGGCTTCATTAGGTTAGAAAGCAAATGCCAACACGTTGTGAAACTGGGAAACATTAACTGAATACAAGTGAACAAGTGTAGCCTGCTAGTCACTTCACCAGTCTTGTCTGGGGAACAGTAACAAACCAACACAATATATGTTTACCTTAAGGTGAAGTATATATCTTGTACATTTACTCTCTTTCCAACAACTAGATAACAGGTTGAAATGGGATCAGTAGATCACCCAGAAGTGCTATTTGCCTAAAAAGCCACCGAGTTTTCACATCTGCGGCAGCTACCGCATGAGTTCGCAAAAATCAAGGTTTGATCAATGTGACTACCGTACTCGCTAATTCGAACCGTCGTGCTGAAAGATCTACTTGCTTGAATCTGATAATGGATCACAAGACTTCTCATTAAACGAAAGTTTAGGGGCAGAATTTTGGTGAGTTTTCGAAGTTAAGTGTAACGAATTATCTGTCCGTCCCCGGTTACTTTCCTGAACATTACCATTAGCTCCCTACGAAAATTCAGATGTTCTCAGATCAAGAGTCCTACTACCGAAGACTTTCGGGAAATGTGTATGTCGTGGTTACCTGGGCAATAATAAAAAGTGGGTACTTCCTCGGATTTAACATAATAAAAGAATACTGATTCATAAGCTGAGCAGCTAGTCAACTGGATCGCCCGCTGTGAAATGGCGCAAAGTTCCACAGGAAGGCTACCGCTGCTTCTCTGACCCAAATATGAGGAACCTTGGTCAAAAATAGGCAGATTTTATTGGACCATTGATTAGAGGGCACTTGTTGACTGTGGCTTATAACAAACGACCGGGATAATATTGATGAACCTACCGAGATGACCAAGACACCAACATCCATCCATCCAGCATTCCATTGACAGAAGCGATAGTTTCAGCTATTTTACACAGGATAAATTTCTGGGGTCCCATTAATGGAATTCACTCTAAATTCGTCAGAAGCTCAGCGGCATGCCGGCGGGATTACTGATATATTCAAAAGAACGTGATAAGGTGGTGAATTAATTCTTGTGAGCTATTTTATCAATTGTCCAAACATTTGTTTTGAACTCTCTGAGTGAATCACTTGTGAACAGGAGGATGTGGCTGAGTAATGGTCTACAAAGCCCAGTGCAACGTACATTGACGAGGATTCTAAAATTGTTGGATCGATGGTTGCATGTTGCCACGGGGTCAAACTCAGTTGAAGCTGTTTGGGGACCACTTGGAAAAGTAAGCAATGAAGAGGACGCGAGTCACAAGACTTGAAGGATGCGCACGAAGGGAACCAACTTACTAGGTATGTCGACGGTTACTTCATGTATTTCCAACTGGCTCCTTAATAAAGTCAACTGAACTGCAGTCCAAGAATTTCTCTTAAAGATGAACCAAAACTGAAGTGTATGAAAAACCCAATTCATTGCCGTTTTTGTTCCTGCTAGAAAACGTACACAGGAAGACAGAATCGCATTCAAAATTGTTTCTCTAACCCACCATCAGAAAGCGAATGCTCGAGTCGACAATTCGGTGTTGATCTGGTGAAAGCTAAATTGCCATTTATTTTAATGTGTGCCTAAATTTTTGTGCCAAAATGGACTTTCCATGACGACAAATGTGTAAGTTGATCACTCCACTCTTTAAGTAAAATGCATTCACCACCTGTGTGACGGTAAACCTCAGTGGTCTCGATCGAAAGTCTAATTGCTTTTTAAGTAGTAGACAACGATTTAAACAATTCTTTTTGTTGAGTCTCGAAATAAGTGTCCACCTACAGTTGTCAGCAAATACGGAATCTCACTTTTGTCGGACTCTTTCGAAGGCTTTTGTGGTGCACAAAATGGTAGGAAAACTAGCCACAGTAACGACAACCGCAAAGCACAAGCCTCCTCTGGAGTGAGTGATCAATACCACGAGTTAACTTGCATCCGAATATTAGAGCAGTACTCATCCAGCATACGGTCTGGTAATAAATATATCTGAGACTTCCCCAAACATACTCTAAGAATTCTCAGAGTTTTGCATTTGACAGCCGGTTCTATCTGTCAATCTGAAGTCGGTTGGCATTCTGCTGCATGTTGAGCTTATCTGATGAATAAGGTGTTTTGTGTCACAATGGTAAAGGTTAGTCAGTTTAAAAATTTCAGCTTCCTGTTAATTGGACGCTTTTAGGACATTCAATAAATGCGTCAGTTAGTCAGCCTAGTAAACAATCGGTTTAAATTTTTTTCTAGTACTGGCCTGTTCACGGCAACCACTGTCTGTTTCAGAGTCCCTCTCAGTCAAACATATATTCAAGCGTCTTATTAAGATCAGTTCAGTTCTGTTTTTTGTTGCATTTTCCGATTGTACATCTCAGTTCATTCTGTCTCCCTTTCGCGTTGCTTTAAGGTACTGATCATTCACTAACTACTCTATCGTTCTGTCATACCAGGTCACAACGCGGTCACGCGGTACCCACATCTTATCAGGGTGAGATGTGCCACAGAGCGTAGATGTCCATCGCGACGGATTTCAGCCAGTTATATTGAAATAAACATCAACACTGATATGTCGGTGCACGTGACTCAGTTCCGTTATTTTATCTACGGTTTCATATGGAATCAGTCCTTCTTATTTTTATATCCTGGATTTCCAGACAGATCGTCCGTTTTTCCATATGGTGATAGTTTCAAATTTATGCGACATTTTCAT